TACTTGTCACTTGGTTTAGTTTAGTGCATTAAAGTAGTCGTCGCTAGAGAGCAGCACTTCCTTAACTATATTTTTGCTTTGCCCGAAACTATACACTATATTATATAGATTTATACATTGAGAGTTGCAAACTTTACTCGAGATACAAAAAACCTCGTGCGATTCGCTTTTAAGTAAAAAGCGAGATGTGTACATGTCGAAACCACTTGAGACCGAGATATAGGACTAGCTACGCTAGGGTAAGTCTGTACGCCAATCCATTGTTTCTCGGAAACGGCTATAACTACAAAATCGGGCTTAGTGTTAAAAATCAGCTACAAATTAGCAACAAAATATGCTACAACTTGATCATCCCTATCTGATATTTTTATCGATTGGACGTTTTTCAGGACGTTAGGGGTGCATTTAAAAAAGTACTGCCTAATTAACAAAGATGTGCTTCCCTGCCATAATTTCATGCAGTGTGATAGAAATTTAATGCCGAATTTAGTCAACTTTAAACCATCTTAACTTATTTTTTTTAATGGAACACCCTGTATATTTTTGCGCAACCTGATGAATTTTGTTCCCTTTCGAATGGTATAATTCCCTATCCCCCTTCTGGCAGTCAACGAGTATCGCATAATTTCTCGAGAGGATGGCTGTCAAATTTTTAGTGAACCTTCAAACAAGCACCCTAATCTGTCACAAGTTTATTGTTGTCAAATTAACACATACAGTGAATGTTTATTTGAGTATTATTTATTGTTAAAGAATGGAAAACGTTAACATTTATTCAAATGCTGACATTCTAAATTTATTATTTATTCATGGATTGTCACAAGATAATAAATAGGACTTGCAAAAATTACTTACCTTTCCAAAGATAAAACTGAACTGTACAATTTAATCAATTCTTGTTTTGCTTTCATGGAATCAATTTTTTCATAATAATTTATTAAGCCATTCCATGCTAGAGGATTGGAAGGGTTACTTTCAATAGCTCTCTGAAATGCTTTAGGAGCTTGTTCAGGTGGTCCCAGTTCTTGAAGCGATAATCCCAAAAATATTAAAGCCATATAATTGCCCTTATCTTCTTTTAGAATTGCCTGGATTATAAAACAAACATATTTTTATTGAAATAAAACTAAAATAATCAAGTTTATTTTATATTGGATATTAAGCCTGCCAAATTTTAATGATGATGATTCTACGTCACAAATCAATAAAAAAATGTGTCGGGAAACACTTCATTTTAGAGATAGTGTTGAAATTAAAAAAAATGTCACCATTATTTTTTTCTTAAATTGCTTGTTAATCATCGTTAATGAACTAATTATGTGCAACACTTTTCTGAGTTGCTATTCAAATTTATCTAACCAGTGAATCAGAAGGTACTGGAAAACACTGTTCGGAACTTTAAAATTTCAACTTCACTGAATATTTTGGAAATTGAATAACTATGTTTAATTTGAGTTGGTATTTCTAACAAAAAAGTTCTTTCATTTTATTCGAAAATATTTTTAAATTTAAAATAAGTCTACAGCATACTTGATACTAGAATAAATAAAAAATAACTCCAATATTAAAAAAATTTGAATTTTTTATGGAATTATGAAAAGTCCAAGAAAATATTTGGTGTAGAAAATTTTTTTCTGTAAGATAGTAAACACTTAAAAATATTAAAGTTGCTACGCCAACACTTTTTTGACTGCTGGTGGTTATATTGTACTTAAAATTGTAATTGGTACGCTACAATTACATTTAGTACGTGCCCCAATAAATATATTTTGCTTTCTGGGAAATTACGAGCCATATAAATTATACATTGAATTATCCGAGATTATCCCAAATAAATGTATTTAGCAAATGAGATTAGAATAAGTAGGCTGTAAACATAAATTAGTTGTTGTTTATTAGGGTACATAAGCACAAACCGAGTAGGTAATGACCCGAATAAGTGTTAATTAGGATAGGATAATAAAAGTAGGTAGAATAAAGTTTTCCATGCTACTTAGAGTTTTTCTCCTTACTTGAAGACCAAACCACTATAAATTGGTGACCCCGACGTGATCTAACAAGAAAAAGAAAATAATGCAGCTCAAGTAAACCGAAGAAATGGACAACGCCAACAGGAACAAGTGTTAGCACCGCCAGAAACCCTGCACAAGGAACGGACAGCGTCGAATTACATCATGTGAGTGTCCGTGTACCGCCGTTTTAGAGTGACAAGGTAACGCTTTGGTTTTGCCAATTGGAGGCACAATTTCGCATCGCTGGCGTTAAACAAGACACGACAAAATTCGGTTACGTCGTTGGAAATTTGGACAGCCGATATGTCGAGGAAGTTGAAGATATTGTTTGTTTGCAACCCGCCCGCAAAAAAACTGTACGAGACTTTGAAAAACGAACTTATTAAACGTCTATCGGACTCTAACAGTCAACGTGTACGAAAGCTGTTAGAAAGTGAAGAACTAGGAGACCGCATGCCCTCACAATTTCTGCGCCATCTACGAAAACTGGCAGGTAAAAGTGTAAACGAGGAATTCATAAAAACTTTGTGGATGAACCGATTGCCGACATCTACGCAGCGAGTGCTGGCCGCATCACTGCAACAACTCTTAGCGGATATGGCTGAAGTAGCGGATCGAGTACAAGAAATCGGACCGTCGAGAAATCAAGAGTCGCAAATTAACACAAAATAAGTTCCCGTTTCATTACAACCGTCTGCGAGTAGTGAGCTAGCCACCCTACGTGAAGAGGTATAGCAACTTTGTCTCGCGCTCCAAGAAATAACAATAGAAAAGGAGCAAAACCCTCGGTGGTCACGACAACGAAGCCGTTCCGGCGGCTCAAGCAACACAAGGGGACGTAGTGCTAGTGGTGATCGTGATATGTGTTGTTATCATCACCATTTCGGAGCTAAAGCTACAAAATGTCGCGCGCCATGTAAATACGCCCATGGAAACGAGTAGACCCGTCGTTGATAACGGCTGTCAACGACCGGCACATGGCACGTTGAATTTTCGTCACCGATGCGAGATCAAAGGTATCCTTTTTGGTAGACACTGGGGCTGATCTTTGTGTGTATCCGTTTTCGCGAATTAGTGGTCGTAAACGAAAGTGCAATTATACATTATACGCCGCGAATAGAACGCCGATTTCCACATATGGATTTGTGACTATAGATTTAGATTTACGGCTTCGACATAGTTACAAGTGGAATTCTGTGATAGCCGACGTAGACAAATCCATCATTGGATTAGACTTTTTAGCATTTTACAACCTATTCGTTGATGTGCTTGGACGACCATTCATAGACAAAACCACTTTGTTAGCATCAATAGGGGAAAATGTAATAAGCGAAGTACAGTCCATAAAAACAATGATAATAGAATCAGAGTACTCTCGTCTGTTAAGCGAATACCCCGATATTACGCGTACCGCCGGCACGGTGGGCCAAACAATTAAACACAATGTTGTGCATCATCTTACCACAACACCTGGACCTCCCGTTTTCTGCCGTCCCCGACGTTTAGCTCTCGATCGTTTGTAATTAGTGAAAACAGAATTCGAGCTGATGCTACAGCAAGGAATCATCCGCGAATCAAAGAGTCCATGGGCATCAGCCCTACATCTGATGCCAAAGGAGGACAACGCATGGAGACCCTGCGGAGATTATAGAGCTTTAAATGCGAGGACAATACCAGATCGATATCCACTCCCGCACATTGAAGATTTTGCACAATCCCTACATGGTAAAACTATATTTTCTAAACTAGATTTGACGAAAACGTACCATCAAATCCCCATATCACCCGAAGATATAGAGAAAACAGCAGTTACCACACCGTTTGGATTGTTCGAGTTTCCGCGTATGCCATTCGGCTTACGTAACTCAGCGCAAACGTTTCAACGAATTATCGACCACGTGCTACGCGGGTTGGATTTTTGCTACGAATACATCGATGATGTTCTAGTGGCATCTCGCGACAAAGAAGAACACTTACATTTGAAAAATTATATTTCAGCGTTTCAGCAAGTACGGATTGGTAATAAATGCTTCGGAGTGAGCATTTGGTGTCAGCGAAGTCAAATTCGTAGGTTATAGCGTCGATCACAATGGTACTAGACCATGGCCTGAACGAGCCCATGCAATCGTAGATTTCTTGCTACGCATACATCGATGATGTTCTAGTGGCATCTCGCGACAAAGAAGAACACTTACAACATTTGAAAAATATTTCAGCGTTTCAGCAAGTACGGATTGGTAATAAATGCTTCGGAGTGAGCATTTGGTGTCAGCGAAGTCAAATTCGTGGGTTATAGCGTCGATCACAGTGGTACTAGACCATGGCCTGAACGAGCCCATGCAATCGTAGATTTCCCAAAGCCGACATTGGTTCTACCGACGATTTATACCAAAAACCGCTGATCTACAGCAACCTCTCAACGAGATGCTACGGGGACCCAAACTAAAAGGAAGCACACCAGTCAACTGGACCGAGCGCGCCGAAGCGGCATTTGTCAAAATAAAGGGCGGACTTTCAAGTGCAACGATGCTGGTACACCCTGTTCCAGCCGCCCCGTTGGCGGTGACGGTGGATGCTTCCGATTACTCAATCGGCAGTACTTTACAACTAATGGTTGAGGGAGAATGGCAACCGCTAGCCTTTTACACGAAATCGTTGTCAGCAGCACAACGAAAGTACGATTGTGGTGAAACAATTTCGTTACGTAGTGGAAGGACGTGATTTTGTCATGTTCACAGAACACAAACCGCTGATTTTTTTCAACAGAAACCAGATAAATGTTCACCCTGGCACCTCGATTACATCGGACAATTTTCTACAGATATTCGTCACATCGCTGGGGCAGAAAACGCAGTGGCAGATGCGTTATCGAGAGTGGAAACAATTTCACGAGGATTACCAGACACNATCGTTGTCAGCAGCACAACGAAAGTACGATTGTGGTGAAACAATTTCGTTACGTAGTGGAAGGACGTGATTTTGTCATGTTCACAGAACACAAACCGCTGATTTTTTTCAACAGAAACCAGATAAATGTTCACCCTGGCACCTCGATTACATCGGACAATTTTCTACAGATATTCGTCACATCGCTGGGGCAGAAAACGCAGTGGCAGATGCGTTATCGAGAGTGGAAACAATTTCACGAGGATTACCAGACACTAGCCAAGGCACAGGAGGAGGACCCAGAAATAAAAAACTTTGTAAGGATAAAACTAGTGCTTTGAAATTGCAGAGTGTATGTTCCGGATTTCAAGTGTAGTTTATTTTACGACGTCAGCGCAAGGTCAGCAAGAGTTTATGTGCCTGAGCCATTATGACGCGAAATTTTCAACTCCTTACACGGTTTATCACATCCTGGCATCCGAGCAATGCAGACTGTTAACTGAACGCTTCGTGTGGCCGTCAATTATCAAGGACTGTCGAGATTGGGCGCGACGATGTTTCCCAACGAGCTAAAACCACACGATAAGTGAATTCACCAATAGGATCTTTTTCGAACACATGAAACAGATGCGAACATGTGCACATAGATATAGTGGGCCCATTGCCGATCTCACGAGGTTATCGCTATTGCCTCACTTGCGTCGACCGTTTACACGCTGGCCAGAAGCTGTACCCATAGAGAACATTGGAGCCGAAACAATAGCCCGTGTTTTCTTGGAAACTTGGATTGCAAGATATGGTGTTCCCCTCAGAGTGACGTCAGATCAAGGCCGCCAGTTCGAATCACGACTGTTTAAAAAGCTTTTACGTTTGATAGGAACGTCACATCTACGAACAACGGCATACCATTCAGCAGCTAATGGCATGATTGGAAGATTCCACCGTCAGCTTAAGGTATCGATTAAGTGCCACGAGACGGAGCGGTGGGTGGAAGTTTTACCCATCGTGCTGCTTGGAATCCGAACATCCATTAAAGAACTAAGAGCGATTACTGCGGAAATGGTTTATGGCACAACTATTCGTTTACTAGGTTTTATCCACATTTATATATTTATATTGTGAAAAATGTGGATAAAATATGATGACTGGTGCATAATTTTTTAAAAATTTATTCTAAGGATAATAA